TCTCTCTCTCTCTCTCTCTCTCTCTCTCTCTCTCTCTCTCTCTCTCTCTCTCTCTCTTTAAAAAGATTTATTTATTTATGCATACAGAACTGGGATACAGACCAGAGGTGCAGGGGTGGTAAGAGGATTCAACAGAGACAGACTTGGGAACAAAACAGGCAGATTGATGGAAATACACTGCTGAGGGGAGCTGTGGGTGGGCCAGGGGAGGTCTGCTACACCATGTGGGTCACCGCCCTGGCTGGGGATCGAACTAGTGCTACAGTGGCTGTGATAGCTTCATAGTGCTGTGCTTTAACCCACTTTTTTTCTTCTTTAAAGAGTAGCTGATTACTATGAATATATTGAATCACAGTCTATGAGGCTCTACCCCTCTAAGCAATTTTATGTGAAAGAGTCCTTGTGACTTAATAAAGATTTTATAAAATATCGACCACCACTAGAAGAAATGATTGATTCCAAGTCCAGGGCAAGGAAAGTCCTGGTGAGTCGGGGACATCCTGTTGTGCCAGAAAACAAGTAAATACTCAGAGGCTAATGTGGATATTCACTGGGCACAGAAGCCAGCTTGAAGGGACCATTGCTATATTTGGGATAATTTGAGAATCAAAAGTAATAATAACTATAACAGATTGATTTAAAGACTTTTCAAACAATGTCAATAACCAAAAAACCCAGGAGGGTGAAGGAACTGTTCTAGATGAAAAAATACTGATCATGACATATTTAAAGTAAAATTTGCCATACAGGAAGGTAGAAAGCAGGGTATTTTAAGCACCCAAACACCTCTACATAGATTCAAAATTTTAACAGCTTGCCTTGTTTATTCCTTTTTCCCTCCCTCTGTCCCTTCCCCCCTCCCTCCCACCCCACCTCCTTCCTACATTCCTCTTTCTATGGCTCCTTCTCCTTCTCCCTCTTCTCTCTTCCTTTTCTGAATAATTTAAAGTAATAAAATAGCTAAATTTTGTATATTACCCTGCTTTGACTGCACCAGGGATGACAATGATGTTGGGTTTACAGCAGTTTCTCTCCTATTCTGGGGGGCCGTGGTAGGCAAGTCTTCAGAATTAGAGATTCGTGTTATTAAATGAGTCAGAGGAAAAGCAACAAAAAGATTAAATATAGACTAGATCAAAATAAAAAGTTAGAGCATCCCTTAGTTTGTCTTAATATAGTTGTGATTTGACCCAGTGTGAAGATAAATATATTAATATCTCTAGATTGAACCTTCCTGAATAATTGCTCTATAGAAAACTTTTATTGAGTCATAGACATGAATATAAAAATATGCATGGTCATAGATGTACCATTGGATAAATCCTCAATATGAAGTTTTTGTCCCACTTTATTTAAACTGGTTAAGAAAAACTGTAATAAGAAAAGGTATTTAATTCAGTGATGACCACGGGACATTCTGAGTTCAGAAGACAAACCTGGCTGATTTCTTTCCTGGTTAGATACGGGCCCATCTCCTGAGCAGTCTGTCTACAACTGGACAGCGTGGGCGGAGGATAGCGACTGGGGAAACGGCAGTAGCCGCGGCCATCACAACGTGTTCCCTGATGGGAAGCCTTTCCCTCGCCCCCCCGGATGGAAGAAGTGGAATTTTGTCTACGTCTTTCACACACTTGGTTGGACTTTTATAACCCCTCTTAGCTTCTTTGTCTTCTCTGAAATGTTTAGTTATTTCCTCTTATCTTATAGTCAAGAATTAGGACCCTTGAACATTAACAATCTTCCTCTGTTAACTTTCCTGAAGTGGAGTAAAGCACGAAGGATAAAAATAAAATCATGGTTAGCGTGGTCAAATGTCCAAGACACCAAAGAATTTAAAAAGAGGGAAGAAAATGGATTCAGTCTTCTTAAAACAAAACTACTCAGGTTTTTGTTTTGTTTTGTTTAAAACAGCAACTTGGTAAAATGTTGACATTTATTTACTTGAATGGCACATGGATGAGAATTTGTTTATTTGATTTTTTGTGTTTAGAAGAATTTTTTGAAATTAAGAACACTTCTGTCTTTTGTAGGAAATTTGGAAAATGTAGAAAAGTACAAATGAAAAGTAAGTCATCCATAATTAGCACCAGAGATATCATTGGTACTGGTGTTTACTAGTTTTTTTTATGGAAATCGTAATAGATACACACTTTTGCTCAGTTTTATGAGCTTTGACTTATCATTAAAATTATACATTCTTTCAATGACTATGCCATGCCATATTCTAGTGTATAGAAATAAGACATTCTAATCACTGTTCTTTTTGGCATAACCTACCCTCTTTTTTACTTTTTAACTACAAATGGTGTACACTTTGCTGTATTACTGCAGAAGTAACTATTTTTAGGAAGAGCACATCTAGATTATTACTAGCAAAGATGCTAAGTTCTTAGTTTAAACTGTTACCAAGTACCACATGGCTCTGAGTCTTTGAAAACTGCTAACAATCACACAACATGCAAATTTCTAAATGCCTTTCATTGAAAAATAGAAAAGAAAGCTTCTCTTTCTTCAATTAACTTGACCACAAATCAAAGCAAATAGAATACATTCCAGATAAACAAAGTAGAAATTATGTCAAATATTATGTTCATCTATATAAACCAGTTGTTTAAAGCTGACTTTAAAAAAAAAATACTATCATGATGCTATCAGTCAATGAACAAACACCTTGATTTCATAGACCTATCATTCCGTAACAGAATTCTGAAAAAGACTCACCATCACTCCAGGCTCATTTTAGGCTAGTTAATGTCTACTAATTTTACTAATAATATGCCTTTATTTAAAATCAGAAATCATCCCAGAAATTGCTCTTTTTTTTTAACAAAACTATTCAGAATTCCCATCTCCTGCTGTGTTCTTAGAGTTAACTGACATTTTTCCTTAACCAAGCTACCTCTGTAGGCTCTCAGTGCCCAAACCAACAGTTTCCTCCTTCATAACTAATCCTCTGGGTAAAAACTACACACAGAACTGCCTCTGCATTTCAGAATAAGGGGGGAGGGGCTCCACATTACATACCCCTCAGAAGACTGGCATAAAATTTTTCAACATACTTGAAGATATGACAAACATGGTCTTTAAACATCCCCACCTCACAAGCATCATCTTACAATACCTGTTCTTCCAGTGATAGATCTACCTTGGGTATCTTGCAAGGACTGGAAAAATCTTTGAGCCCTGAAGGAGAGAAATCACTTTCACTAACTATCCAGTAAGTTAGGTACAGAGAGATTAGAAAAATAAAAAGAATGACTAGAGAGTGTCCTAGAAATGTGTTTTTAGAATCATTTCACTCCTTTTTTAATATACTATTTAGTTTTTATTATGTATTGCATTATTATGAATAAATATCTTGAGGGGGATTCTATTCTACACCTCAAAAAATTGTATAATAATACAGCTAAAATCATGTCATTGTTTTAAAAAAAAAACTACAGTAGATTTTTAGGGAAATTTTTTAGCCCCCTTTGACACCTGCCATACTTTATTAAATACATTTTCTGTAGAAAACACATGTATTTCAACTGTTAGACTACTTGTAGTATTTCTAAAATGACACCTAACTGTACTATCTTGCTAAGCAGGATAAACTTTCCATTTTAACTAACTATATACAATTATATTTAACTGTGAGTGTGGTTTATAAGCTTTGAATAAAATGAGCACCATCCTCCTCGCTCAAGCAACCAGGATCATATTCCCATCCTGTTTTCCCCCTTCCAGAACCATCTCTAAGTGATACTTAGTGATACTAAGTCTTTTAAGAAACAACTTCCTTGAAGTATTGTGTAACATAGCCAATAACTAACATTTTCCATCCTCTCAAAGGTCAGTATATCCAGCAATTGGGACGGTGTTCAGCGAGAGTTTCTATAAACACAGCCAATGTGACACTTAGCCCTCAAGTCATGGATGTCACTGTCTACAGAAGACACCGCCGGACTTATGTTCCCATCGCAAAAGTGAAAGATGTATATGTGGTGACAGGTGAGTGGCATAACTCTGAATTAGCTAAGGATAAGTCACAGAATCCTGGCGATGTTAGTGGGCTAAGAAAATAGTCAAGGCAATGTTCAGGGTGAGGTTATGACTCATCCTCCTTCCAAGGTCATCTGTTTACTTTCTTGTGTATAACCTATGCTTTTCAGAATAACTGGGGGAAATTCTAGAAAAACTATATATAGAAAGGAAAATAATGCTGACTTATCCCTAGTATTAATTTTTTTTAACAGCATTGAAGCCATGCCCTCAAAATCGTTCTTTTCTGAATGTATCTTTTTAGATCAGATTCCTGTATTTGTGGTGATGTCCCAGAAGAACAACCAAAATTCATCTGATGAAACCTTCCTCAGGGACCTCCCTATTATGTTCAATGTCCTGCTTCATGACCCCAGCCATTTCCTCAATGAGTCTGCCATCGACTACAAGTGGAATTTTGGGGACAATACTGGTCTGTTTGTTTCCAACAGTAACACTTGGAATCACACATACATGCTTAATGGAACCTTCCACCTTAACCTCACTGTGCAGGCCACAGTGCCTGGCCCTTGCCTTTCACCTTCCGCTGGACCTCCACTGGTCCCCACTTCTCTAGGTAAGTGCTTTCCCAGGGCTCTCTGAGGAGAATTCCTTAACTGCTGAATTAATAACAATAACAACAATAATAACAATACCTGTAGGTTGTATTATTAGAGCTCTAGTGAAAATGGTTGTTGAAAGACAGGTTATTCTGTTCCTTAATGTGTGGTTTCTTTATGTGATTAGTTTAAGTTTCTTTATGTAATTAGTTTAAGTTTTTAGAATAGAGAAGAAAATAGTATGTGTTTGAAGTCCTTTGCAGTTAGATTTGAGTGGCCTCCATAAAGCTCTTCAACTGTCCTAATTCACACTGCCCTGTGTAATGGGCTCAGATGCTTTCCTCCTTCTAGCACGTCACATCTCTGTTTGTCTCCCTTTAATTTTTTTTTCTTTTTGGTGGCTATAAGAAGACATATTGACTCATTAAAAACATTCACTCTTCTAACTCCCCCTCCCACATTTGTCCCCAATCCAGTCTCCTCCCTATCTGTTCATACACCAGCCTCCCATGAAAACACAGTTGAAAGTTTCCCAGTGGCTCAAGAAAGAACGTAACTTGAGAGTATTTCTAAACTGGCATGTTAGAAAGAATGCAGATATTAAAAGTGTTCTGGATAAGATATATTTAATTAAACCCCACCTTTACTAGTAGTGCATGAAAGCAATTTGAGAAGTTTTTGAAAATCTATTTTGGGAAGTAGATTTCATTTGATTCCCCAACCTATTAGGTGCTATATCACAGCCCTTCCCACCCAGATCCAGAGGGTAATATTAGCCGGTCATCCTCTAACTGGACACAAGAGGGCGTTATTACCAAAACCTGGAAAAACCACACGTATCTTGGATTTGCTGCAATTCTTTTCATTAAAAAACTGTTCAATCTAGAAAAATATTATAGTAAAATATAAAGTAAGGTTTTGCTAAATCAAGCATCTCTAAATAGACATATAAGACACTGATTCTGATTAGTACTTTTTTGAAGTGTTTAAAATTACAAAATAAATGCATGCTCCTTCATAAAAATTGAAACAATATAGACATCTAGAATAAAAGTGATAGTCCCTATAATGCTCTCTCCAAAGAGTTAAATCCTAGCAACATTTTGGAGTGTATTTTTTAATATTTTATTTATTTATACATATAAGAACCGGGGTACTAGCCTGAAAGGAATTACCAGAGACCGAGTGGCAAACAGAACAGGTTGACTGAAACACAATGCTGAGGGGAGCAGCTGGCAAACCAGACAGGACGCACGTCATGTGGGTCACCTCCCTGGCCAGGGATCTAACTTGTGCTGCAGTGGCTGCTGATAACTTCACAGTTATAACCTCTTGCACCACCAGGGAGGCCTCAATTTCTTTATAAGTGTTGATAGTTTTCCTTACAAATAAGGGGACCAAGAGCAAAATTCAGATAAATTGTAAGAGCATATAATGCCTAGAAATTCCTGAATGGCAAAGGATTTAATATTAGGTTATTTAGTGTTGAACTACTTTGAATTTTTTTTTATTTTAAATATTTTTTTATTTTATAACAGTTTATTTTTACATCATTTTGTACATTTTTTCCCCCATCTCAATTGTAATCCCCGTGGGTTTCCCATCACCAAGTCACCCGTGTGCCATCACCATAATCCTGTGCACTTCCCTCCCCACCCCACCCCTGTTTTTGATCCCATTCC